AGTCCACTACCAATCTAATAAAGAGTTTAGACGTACATATATGAGATCCATCCAACTTGTGCAGTAATGAGTAACTAATTGAAATTGTAGAAGGGAAATTGTTTTAGTGTCTATAATAAAACGAGTGAAATAAGATGAGCTGATAATTAGTGATGCCGATTAATGCACCTGAATATCAATGCTAATTACCGCTTTCATCCATTTCCTCTAAGAGAACAATTTTTTAATGGAAATCGCTAAGCTATGCCTTCAGTGGCTGTGACTGCTTGGAAATTGTTTTGCCGCGTACGAATTTGCGCAGCCAGCTACGTAGGCTTAGATGGCGCTGGCTGTTCTAATGGACTTTAACTGCACATCACAATAGCTAATGATGAAGCGATGCTGCCCCACTTTGCATCTTTCGTCTCAGTGTCGCTCTTAAAGATAGCTGCCAGTTCTAGCCTCAAGGAACACAGGAAATAATCATGTAATCACAGCGCACATTGGAGTATTTTGATATTAACATGTCAGCTTGCTTGTCAAAGTTAGGGTACTGTTCAAGTTAAATATTACTCTTGAGATTTCAGGTTTGAATGTAACATATGTCTAGACACTGCAAAGGATGCAGTGGTTTCCATGTGCGGTCATCTATTTTGTTGGCCGTGTCTTGTCCAGTGGCTGGATACGCGACCAAATCGGCAGCTATGTCCTGTATGTAAGGCCGCTATCAGCAAAGACAAGGTTCCGTATATCTGAATTCATTTCTGTTGATTGTTCTATAGTTAGTTTATTATTCGATGTCTTACTTTCCCAGGTAATTCCCCTATATGGGCGTGGAGGTGATAATACCGATCCTCGCGAGAAAGTGCCTCCTCGTCCTCGTGGCCAACGGACTGAAGCGCCACAGGTAAGAGATTTGCTTATGAAATATTGTGAAATGGGAACTCGACCTATAGCCCTCAGCTTTAAATCTGATCTCCACATTTTGAAGGTTAAATTGATGCACAGCAACAAGATTGCTTTTACTTAATCATTCAACATTCAAGGTAAGCCAGTAGAACAAATAAGAAGAGATAAGAAGAACAGATAACCAGCCTGGTTTCACAATTAATGCAATTAACAATCAAGCTGCAATATGGAAAGAATAAGCTAGTTATTGTAGTGATACAATTGACAAGCAGAAGCAGGTGATAACAGAGGAGAATGCCACCGCCCATACCTCCGATGAGTAGACTAGACTGGAAAGCTGGATTTTGGTTTACATGGAACCACTGTCCTAACAATCCAAACTCAGTACACCTACTAAAGCCTAGATAAAGTTTTGTCATAGAATGCGGTGTGAGTCGTTAGTTTGCGGGAATAGACCGATTAGAAAGACATGGAGTGAGAGGCTGATAGCAGTGTTTTGCACAGTAACAAAGTTTAAATAAAACAATAAAGGCGCGTTTGGACCTAAACTTTCAATTCGCAACCGTGTTGTCATTCTGAAGATTCAGTATGTTTGATACTTGCAATAAAAACCAATCAGACGAGTTTTAGATATCGTTTCGTAGTTATCAACAAGAGATCACAGCTCTAAAT